ATGCTGTTTTTCATCATTACACTGAAATGACGCCAACCTAATGGATATGATTCGTTTCCTAATGATCAACAATCATGAAGAAACTTCGGCTTTATCTGACAACCGTTCTTAAAAACACTCTCTGGAAGAAGAGTAAGGTTGACAGAATACTTAAACGACTACTACGTGTAGAAAACGGCATAACGTTTTGTCTCATCTCGTTAGTTTGTATTGGCATGTCAAAAACAGAAACAACTAGTTTTTTTCAAACATTCTCATAAATGCTTTTTGTCTTCTTAAGAAAATTTAGGATGATTCAGTGTGCAAAACTGTTTGACGTGTTATCAATACATAGGTTTACCAGATTTTCAACTTTTTCAAATGTTTTGTGACCTTACACGTTCGAGTATATTTCGACATGCACTTACAATTTCATTCATTCTTTATTTGCAGGACGGCTGATAAAGGTGAAAATCCCATGAAAAATGCGATGAACAGAAACTTTCAGTGTAGATTTTGTCACTGCTATATTGTTTCACGTGGCCCCTTTTTGGGGGGAAGACAACTAGGTAGGAAAGGAGGCAAAGTCCTTTTATACATAGCCAATAATATAAATATCCGCTCCTTTGTTTATGAATCCCATAACAGTGGAACTTGTGAAGTCATTTGCTGCGACCTCACTATCGGATGTGGTACATTTATACTCGGTGTCATCTATCGCAGCTCAATCTGCTTAGTTGATGACTCAGCTATGGAGTGCAAATAACAGGTACTTGATATTAGACTACAGTGAAACTGATACTAGATGAACTGAAATGACCATAGAAGGATCTATAAACTCCTTTGACAGCACGTTCCTGTTAACAGTAATGGAGCATTCATTAGTACAGCATGTATCCAAACCCAAACGTTTTGGTGCAAACCGATGTTCTTCTCTATTGGCCTTGGTAATCACTCATGCCAACCTAAATAGTCTTTCACCGTTGGTGGATAGCGATCATGCTGTTTTGTCATTCAAGTTTAGAGCTAGTGGCATGATATACGATGAGGTTAGGCCTCACCCAAATATATGGGGAGCCAACATATCAGCCATCCAGGAATGCGCTGCTAAGACAGATTGGTCATTAGATAACAGCTCATCAGCTGAAGGAGCATGGTATATATTTAAATGCAAGTTTAGTTCAGTTACGTCCCCGTTCATACCATACCTGGTACCGCGAAGACTGAATAATAGTCCATCGTGGATAACTAAGCAAGCCAAGAAACTTCTTAGACGCAGGAAAAAGCATTGGAATACATTTATCTTCACTGGCTTAGAACAGTACAGATCCAGTTATTATAAGATTAGGAATGCTTGTAAAGCGATAATAAGACTAGACTGTCATATGAAAAACAATTTGTTAGGGATTGTAAATATACTCCGAAACGCTTATTCTCGTAAATAAAAACGGCAAACTCGGAGAAGCGATGGAATTCCGTCACTTCTGATACAAGAAAATCCGTTAATACTGGCAAGAAATGATATCAAAATGCTAAAGTATTATCGGATTATTTCGATAAAGTGCTTTCTGTTGAGTCGGCTTTCCCAAGACTGCAGTGGATCCTCCAGAGGCCCTAAAAGAGCCGAAGAGTCCTAGCCAATCAGAGCATGACGAAGCTTTCCAGAATATCAACGTGGCGTGCTACTAATGGTCAGTAGCATAATATGTCTTTTAGCGGGTTGGCCAAAATCTGATGTTGATTTAACAAATGTTAACATCCATAAATACCCATGTTTTTCTGCACAAAAATTAACCTTTGGAGTCAAGTGTTTTTCGCATATTTTTCTCTTTTTCTCTCGAGTTCAGGTCGTTGCGCAGTTCTAGCTTGCGGGCTACCAGAATAGCTTAGGAACCGAATAAAGCGTTCAAATTAACAAGATTTATCATTTTCCATCAGTAATGAGGGACGACCAACATTTCATTGTGATTGAAGCAACTTGTTGATAGACCTTGTATTCATTAAGAAAGTTAATGTCTTATGACTACTTCAGCATCTAAAACGTGATAAGTTCAATGGTCCTGACGTTATTCATCCTAGGATTGTGAAAGCCCTATAAGATGTGATTGCTGAGGCTCTGGCGATACTGTTTGATATGTCTCTGTGGCAGTCCAGGCTGTCAAGAGACTGGAAAGACACAACAATTCGTCTGGTGTATGAAACTGGGAGCAGAGATTTAGTTGGTAACTACGAAAGCCATCATCCAGAAAATACAGGTGTTTACTAACAATTGCATACGCAAAATACTTCCGATCCATTGGCCAGACACTATTAGCGACAACCTACTATGGGAGAGAACAAACCAGATCCCAGTGGAGGAAGAAATCAGGAAGAAACGCTGGAAGTGGATAGGACACACATTGAGGAAAGCACCCAACTGCGTCACAAGACAAGCCCTCACATGGGATCCTGAAGGTCAAAGGAAAAGAGGAAGACCAAAGAACACATTACGCCGACAAATGGAGATAGACATGAGAGAAATGAACAAGAATTGGATGGAACTATAAAAGAAGGCCCAGGACAGAGTGGGTTGGAGAATGCTGGTTGGCAGCCTATACTCGATTGGGGGTAACAGGCGTAAGTAAGTAATCGATCCGTTATCTTTACTAGTAAAGTTGTAAAACTAATGGAAAAATTTATCTCGATAGCTGTTATAAACTATGTAGAAGGGCGTAATCTTTTATCCAGGGAACAACATGGTTTTCGGAGAGGTCTATCATGTTTAAAAAATCTTATTGCGAGCGAAGACTAAGCTGAGGTAAAAGATCGGAATGTTCCTGTAGATGTGCATTTCATAGATCTAAGTAAGGCCTTCGATAAAGTCTCCCATTCTGGTCTTAAGTTAAAACTGGGAAGTTTTGGAATGCATTATGCAGCCACAGACTGGATGAGTGACTTTCTGCATGACATGAGGAAAATTATAGGGGTAAATGGAGTCCTTTCATCATGGGAACTTGTAAACAGTGAAGTCCCCTGAGACACAATCGTTGGTCCTCTTCTCTTTTTATTTTATGCAAATGAATTATCAACTGTAGCAAAATCGACCGTTCTACTCTTCGCTGATTCTATAAATATTTGGAGACACACGCAGCATGCCAGATAGAATAGCATTACAGGACGATCTCAGCTCATCGATGGCATGGATGGACAGGCGGTCACTAGAAGTAAATTCTAAAAAGTGTGTGTTGATGCAATTAACTAACTATGATGTATCTTATCACTACACAATATGTAAATTCGTGCTACCCAAAGTAAGGAACTATAAATATTTTGAATCAGTAATCTCAAAACAACCAGCTACTGTAAGGCTGCTGCTGCAAAATTTTATAGAGTATTATGGTCTACTCGTAGGACTTTCCAGTATTTGGATAATGAAATGCTTGGATTATTATACCCGACTTTGGAATTCAACCAGAGGGTCCTTGTTTCAAGTGTGAGTTGAATATGCTGGAACAAGTCAAATGACGAAGAACTAAGATGGCAAAAGGTCCATCTGGTCTATCTCATGAAGACAGACTGAGACACCTTGACAAATTTCTGTTATCTTACAGTAGAATACGGGGTGATATCAGTCAGTCAGTCAGTGACAACGTAGAACTTCGTACGTACGTACATCAGTTTGAGTTGCCACACCACATTAGCACAGAGATGCAGTGGTCGATTCAAATCCCGTAGTGGTAGAGGTGGTAAGAGCATAAGTAGTAATCGGAAAGATTAGGGTTTGAAAATGTTATTGAGGTAGTATAATACAGTGAAATAAATTTGGAAAGAGGAAAAAAGGGACATGAGGAATTCAGATTAGAATTTGGGAGAGCACAAAGAGTGGATGCACCTGCACCATTGCAAACGATTTTGAGCCATGTCATTCAGGGTCTCTAACCATCGGTTGCTATCATCTCGTGGTCCCCAACCAGGTAGTCTACACCTACCAATATGACTCAGTCCACTTGTCAGTGACTTCATGGACTTGTGCCATGTTTTGGTCTGGCCGCCCCTAGCTTTCTTTCAACCTACTCCTATGCAACAAAACATCGCACATCGAGGCACTCGGTGGTTAGACATACGTAACACATGTCCGAGCCATCTCAACTGATGAAGTTTCACTACTTCATCAATTGATTTGCTATCCTCACCTAGTACGCGTTTCCTAACAACTGTGTTACTCGATGGTCCCATGATATACGAGCAATGTTTCGAAGACACCTATGATCGAATACTAGTAACCTACGGATATCCTCTACTCTTACCGGCCATGTTTCACTGCCATAAAGTAGGACGGAACGAACTGCTGTGCAGTAAACCCGTCCTTTGGTTGATAGACGGATATCTCGCCTACGCCATAGATGAAGCAAGTTGGCAAAAGCTAGTCGAGCCTTCTGTATCCGTGCTGAGATTTCGTCACACACCAAACCACAAGGGCTGATGAGACTTCCAAGACAAGTGAAGCGGTCGACACGCTCAACTGCTTCACTTCCTATCATTAGTTCGGGTGTCGATGCAATCCAATCCTGAAGCAACATTTCGCACTTCGAGGGGGATAATCGCATGCCGAACATGCTTGCATTGTTGCTTAGAGTGGTCAGAAGACTTTGCATTTTGTCAGCGTCTTCGCCAAATAGAACTATATCATCATGGTGACCTAATATTGGCTTATCGTATACTGAACGATGACCTTGGTATTTATGTCTTACCTTTCCCTTCCGTCTAGGACTGATCATTCGAGAGGACATTCGAAGAAAGTTCTAAAACCGAGATCAAATCGTTTATGTTTGGAGTGTCGTTTTTCACACTGAGTAATGGATTACTGGAATTATCTACCGGAACACGTAATATCAACACCTTCTGCCGGTATACAGAAAACGAGCTCGGACCTTCAAAGTGTTACAAACTGCAAGGATTAATATAAGTTGATAGATCTCCCATTGTTATTACTGAAGGCTGAAGACTGAAATGTAACATTAAAACGACCCGGGATTTTTGGTATGGATGTAACAGCGTGGGAACTCGAACAAATAATCGTACGTTTAGTAATATCTTTTTGAGTATATCTGGCCTTAAAATCAATACACATTTAAGAGACAGCTTGTTAAATGAATTATCTAAATGGTTAGATCTATTTGATAGGTTTGTATTCTATCCTGCAATGTGATTCGAGCTGAAATTTAATATAAAAGTAAGAACAGTGAGTCCTTGAGTGATAGTAGGGTGGGATTTTTTCAGCTGATCACGGCAACCATCGAGCCTGACTCAATGTGACGACTCAATTTTCTAAATTGCATCGGTATGCTCCCAATTACTGAGTCTAAAACGTAGCCCGTAAATCAAAGCATCCGAGTTTCTCTTATTCGGTTGATTCTCAACTATATTTCAGCAGCTTCATTATTAATTGTCAAAAATCGTCGGCTAGGCTATAATTTATGGACAAACCAATCAGATCTACAACAACAGGTCTGAAATTTTGGCTCGAAATTCATTCTCATCTGGCTAAATAGAGTTTCGACATTGTAACATGTCAGTTCGTAATGAAAACCCTAAACCTAAGTTCTCATTCTAACCATCAAATCTAAATCATAATCCTTATTCCTTAAACTGCTTTATAACCCTCATTTAGCTCTGTTAAGTAGGTAGGCACTATCAAGGTCACTTCTGTGTCGCTCAAAGGTCGTCCATAAATTATAGTTTCACCGATATCTGTATACCATCCTGAAAACTGGGAATCTATGTAGCTACTGAGCTGCCTCAAAGTACTTTGTACGGAACCTAAATGCTTTCGAAGTTCGTTATAGCTAACAACATTTTTGTGGAAACTATAAACCGGGGGTCCGCGTGACTGTCCCAACCAATGGTTGGAGACTCTTGGTGACATGGCTCAGAATCGATCGCAAATGGCGTCAGTGTATACACTCTCTGTCTTCCCTTAAACTAAGAGATTAAAATCGCTTTATATATTTCTTTCTATGAACTAACTCTTTCTTCCTGTACTATATGCTCATATGCAATCTTTCTTTTATAATATTACCACCATTGACTTTATCATTCCCGTGAATCCGGTGTTCATCTTGCTGTGCTAATGAGGTATGACAACTTGGACCGATGCAGATATGTGTCTGATCCTATGTTGTAGCTGACTGACTGGAAACTATAAACATTTGAGCAAATTATAGTTTACGAAAAAAACCCAGTATACAGTGGGTCTTAAAAAAGCTCTGATGGACCAAAAAGTGTACAGCAGGGATTTACTTAATCACATGTTCAGTTATTACAGCTTCAAAACTATAAATCGATAGTCGTATGTTAAATCAAGTATTGTACCGTCTTTAAAAGACCTAGTCATTAATTATGTGAATTCTAGGGTTCGGCTTCAAGTGAAAAGGTCAAATATGGAAAGCGGAAAGCCGAATACAGTCCTTTAGAGGAAAAGAGCAAACGTTTAAAAGCTGAAAACTCGGTTTCAAACCATGAAAAAGTTGTCGAAACTCCAGTTACAAAGTCTGCTATTGAAGAGCGCAAGCCTGCAACAAATGATTTAATAAATCCTGTCACTTATAAAGAAATACAAGGCATTTTAGAACATCGTAATAAATGCACATTGAAAATCCACGGACTCCCTGCCAAGACAACCATAAATGAATTGGAAAAACTGGCTCCAGAAGCAAAAGCCTATCGTTTACCATGGATAACTCGTCTTTACCGATGCCATGGATTCGCCTTCCTGGAGTTCGAATCAGAGGAACAAGCCTTGATGCATAAAGAAAAGCTCCACCAAAAACCTTATGGTAACAAAACTTTATTCGCCAGTGTTGGGAAGTTCATCTCAGAATGTATTGGTAAGATCAATATCTGAATTCGCATAATTATATGGGTATTCAGATGACTATGATTGCAAAATGCTTGTCCTTTATGGAGTAAATTACAATGTTAAGAAAGGTGAAATAGCAAGAAAATTTCCTTCTTCCACTAATATATCACTCGATAAAACTAGTCACTTAAATGCTAGACATAAACCTGGCGTCGCTTACTTGACTTTTGCATCAGAAGAAGATGCTGTGAATGCCATTAAATGTAGGCAAGGTTGCTTATTGAGAGGTCGAAAAGTATCCGTTCTTTTCCACACAAAACAACAAGAAAAAAGGTAAGCTTGTTTACTCCTAATTTTTCAAAATCACTGAAAGTAAGAATTGTCTTTTAGTTCGTGGCTTAAGTAAAAAGGTGAATAAAGACGATCTTCTGGCTGTATTTCCTCAAGCATCAACGGTTCATATTAATCACTTTCGCGGTGAAGCTCGAATTATGTATGATTTAGAGGAGGATTGTCTTTTGGACCAAAAACAAGCAAAAGATGTGTCGATCGGTGGTCGGAAAATCCAGGTTTTTTCGATTTCTGTTAAGAAAAAGGATACATCCCATTCATTACCTAAAACTGGACAGTCTGGAATTTCTAACGCAGATAAGGATGTGCCATCAAGTATAGTAATAGATAGATCTACTCTGCCTTTATGTGAAGAAACCATTTTTAAGTTATTTCCAAAAGCAATTGACTTCTGCATACCCTCACAGTCAGTTTCTCAAAATAGGTAAGCTTATTTCCAATCCTCCGGATTTGTTTCTTTATCATGACATGATAATATAACCATTAGATTTTTCCAATGCTCTATAGTTTGAGTATATCTAGTTGTAGTTTTACAAACCAAGTGAATAGGCAACTAGCGTTTTTATTTAGCAAAACTAGTTGTAACCCGTGGGATAGTGTTCACAATGGTCTCGGTCGATTACATTTTGTGACGTGGTAATTCCATAAACAAGTTACGTATCCAAAACATTTTCCAGTTGCGGGACCAACTAAGAACATTGAGTACATCGAGAGTTACTTCATCAACTGCGATGCTTGTGATTTCTTTCACAGTATGGTACACTCGTTTCCCACTGCTTCGGTTTGGGTGCCCGAGGAGCATCACAACCTTCACACGAATTAAGTGATGGTGTGGTGCATGTATATCTAGTGCCTCCTCATGCCAATGCTTATGCTTAAATAAAAAATAAATACATTAAGTTCTCGGTTTGCATTCAAATTTAAAGTTACTAGCACTTTTTCTACTATTATTTCTTTCAACGACAAATATTTCATACTGTCAAAATTGTTGAAAGCATAGACATGATCCACTCTTTTTTTATCATATGCTGTTTTTTGCAAACTGATTTTAAATATCTCATCGATATATTAATGTTATAACCTGAACAACCCTATTTGTCTGTGTTCATATTCAAGCTAATTCACAGTTCATAAAGTTTGTTTTTAATTAAAGTAGTAACACCTCTCCAAAGTTGTCAGTCTAGTTGAAGTTATAGAAGCTGTTGTCTCATTACATTTTGTCTTCATTTACAATCTTATGAGTTTCAGAATAGCTGATAGTTCATTTAAAAAGGTTCATTAATCTGTGATATAAAATTTCCTTCCTATTCTTTTGTTTTAAGTGTGGCGTGTGTTAAATTCGCCACTTTATCACAAGCTAAAAGAGCGATCAAATCATTAGATGGCAAATCAATGCGAGCTAGAATAGCCAATCCGAAAAGAATGAGACTTCTTGGCATTTCTAAAACGTTTACTACAGAGAAAAAGGATGGAACTAATATACCTCTTTTTCCTACTAAGGTCGAGCATAATAAAACTAGTCAGGAAGTCAAACGAAACAAGAAACACCACAGATCTAAAGCTCGATTTCCGAGTAAACATGTAAATTTCTAAATAAATATAATACTACAACTAAACTCGTCTTCTGATTAATTTTGTGATCAAAATATTTGATACAGTATTTATGTCATCAATCCAATTTCGAATAATATCTAAATAATTTTTATTATTACTATAAAAAAATAACATACAAGGGCAATTTGTGACTGAGTAAGTTTAAAAATAATTCCTAAGTCAGATACTATTAGGAATTTATTGCTATCAGACGTCAACATTTTCATGAAATCACGAAAGAATCAATTAAAAACTTCAAATCTCAACCACGTTTCCTACATGCGTCACTAGTAAAATTAGCTAAACCTACCAGCGTGTAAAGAAATCGTCACCAAAGATTCCTCCTCTTTCCAATTGATTACAACAAACATTCAAATTAATATCCGATAAAAATATATCTCAAACCTACGAACTCCATTGTCCGCTGAGTCGATAGATATTGTCATTCTCGACCGAGACGGTACACGATTATATTTGTATGACTGGAGGATGTTTCGTGTTGATGACGAGTTGTCAGTTGGAATTGAGGTTTCTTATATGTATATATATATATATATATATATATATATATATATATATATATGTTTATATATGCTTGATTATTTAGTTACTTTCTGACGGGGATTGAAGAGTTCTGAATGTGTGTGAATGTTTGCCGAGTGTAAGTAAGCACACTCCGGAAGTCGAGATAGTAATTTATCTTTGTCCAAACTGGGTAGTGCAACATCGAGTATTCCACTGTCACATCTATGTCGGTGGTGTCCATTGATTTGCAAATAAATTTGATGTATTGGTTTGTTGAATTTGTTGTGTTTAGTCTTATGAATATGGTGTTAAAATATTTGATGCTGTGCTTTGTGGAGCGTATATGGATGTGCCTGAGTGGTTTTGTGTAGTTGATTGTTTGGTATTGGTGAGCACACTCCGGAAGTGGAGATAGTAATTTATCTTTGTCCAAACTGGGTAGTGCAACATCGAGTATTCCACTGTCGCTTATCTGTTAGTGGTGTCCATTCATCGAATATCACAGTTGTTGTGTTTGTGTATGTTATGTTGAATTTTTGTGTAAAATGTGCAAGTAGTAATTGGAGTGAGGTTGCCTAATGTGGATGGTTTGTAGGGTGCGTGTGTGGGAGAGAGTGAGCGATGGTGGATGATGAAGATGGTATTTGTGTTTGATGTTGATTTGTTTGTACTGTGTATCACAGGAGTGTTAATCTTTCACAGATGTGTGGTGAGTGTTGTTTGTGGACAACGTGAATTGTAGTTGAGTGTTTTGTTTCGCTTAATAATAGTTGGGTTGAAGAAACAGTTTATTTTTCTGAGGTGGTGTGTCGCCGACGCCATAGGGTTAGCTGGTCGTTTAGTTAATTGTTGTTCTGCGAACAGAGGAGTGTGGTGTGAATGTTTTGTGGAGAGACGTCTGACTCATATGTGTTGTTGATTTCTTCATGTGTAGATGCGGAGCTAAATAATGTAGTGATTATTGGAGAGTGTTGTTGTCGTGTGTGTATGCATGTATGTTAGTGATATTGGTGATGTTAGTTGTGCAGATGCGTCATTTTGTCTTGTGAAATGCTTGTGTAACATTGACTGGTTGTGTTCTGTAGTTAAGATGTGGGAGTGTGAGTGGAGAATAGGATGACTGTGATGACGAGAGTATTTCTGAATAGTGTGTAGACAGTGTTAGTTGTGGTAGATGTCCATCGAGATATCTGTAGTTTTCGTTTCGGACGATAGTATTCGCATATGGAGTATATTGATAGTTCGTGTTATTTGTTCCTTTTTACATCGGACGTGAGTGATTATGTGGTGTTGGTGATTTTGTGTACGGTGGTTATTGACTAATCGAGTAGATATTGTGTGTTGTATTGCACTGGGATTTTATGTTTGGATAGTAATGTTGGGACTTTAGTGGTGTGATAAGTTGTTTGTATTTGATGATTGATCGTTTACAGGTGTTTGCAGTGAGCTTGCTTTCGACATACTTTTCTTCGCGTGTTCGACACTGCATAGATAACTTGTCCCTTTATAGATTGGTGGATGTGTCGCAAAATGAGAAAAAATATTTTTGCGTATGTATGTATGAGAATAGATGATTGTGTTTGTTGGATTGCCTGAACGATGTGTATGAAGTTTGGTTGTTTGTGGAAATTTGTTGACCATGGGTGGTCATATGGACGTGTCCATAATCTAATACCCTCAGTAGACATTCTGCGGGATTCGCTGATGGACTAAATGAATAAGTTGACCGTTGAGTCGATAGACATTGTCATTCTCGACGGAGACGGTACACGATTATATTTGTATGACTGGAGGATGTTTCGTGTTGATGACGAGTTGTCAGTTGGAATTGAGGTTTCTTATATGTATATATGTATATATATATATATATATATATATGTATGTTTATATATGCTTGATTATTTAGTTACTTTCTGACGGGGATTGAAGAGTTCTGAATGTGTGTGAATGTTTGCCGAGTGTAAGTAAGCACACTCCGGAAGTCGAGATAGTAATTTATCTTTGTCCAAACTGGGTAGTGCAACATCGAGTATTCCACTGTCACATCTATGTCGGTGGTGTCCATTGATTTGCAAATAAATTTGATGTATTGGTTTGTTGAATTTGTTGTGTTTAGTCTTATGAATATGGTGTTAAAATATTTGATGCTGTGCTTTGTGGAGCGTATATGGATGTGCCTGAGTGGTTTTGTGTAGTTGATTGTTTGGTATTGGTGAGCACACTCCGGAAGTGGAGATAGTAATTTATCTTTGTCCAAACTGGGTAGTGCAACATCGAGTATTCCACTGTCGCTTATCTGTTAGTGGTGTCCATTCATCGAATATCACAGTTGTTGTGTTTGTGTATGTTATGTTGAATTTTTGTGTAAAATGTGCAAGTAGTAATTGGAGTGAGGTTGCCTAATGTGGATGGTTTGTAGGGTGCGTGTGTGGGAGAGAGTGAGCGATGGTGGATGATGAAGATGGTATTTGTGTTTGATGTTGATTTGTTTGTACTGTGTATCACAGGAGTGTTAATCTTTCACAGATGTGTGGTGAGTGTTGTTTGTGGACAACGTGAATTGTAGTTGAGTGTTTTGTTTCGCTTAATAATAGTTGGGTTGAAGAAACAGTTTATTTTTCTGAGGTGGTGTGTCGCCGACGCCATAGGGTTAGCTGGTCGTTTAGTTAATTGTTGTTCTGCGAACAGAGGAGTGTGGTGTGAATGTTTTGTGGAGAGACGTCTGACTCATATGTGTTGTTGATTTCTTCATGTGTAGATGCGGAGCTAAATAATGTAGTGATTATTGGAGAGTGTTGTTGTCGTGTGTGTATGCATGTATGTTAGTGATATTGGTGATGTTAGTTGTGCAGATGCGTCATTTTGTCTTGTGAAATGCTTGTGTAACATTGACTGGTTGTGTTCTGTAGTTAAGATGTGGGAGTGTGAGTGGAGAATAGGATGACTGTGATGACGAGAGTATTTCTGAATAGTGTGTAGACAGTGTTAGTTGTGGTAGATGTCCATCGAGATATCTGTAGTTTTCGTTTCGGACGATAGTATTCGCATATGGAGTATATTGATAGTTCGTGTTATTTGTTCCTTTTTACATCGGACGTGAGTGATTATGTGGTGTTGGTGATTTTGTGTACGGTGGTTATTGACTAATCGAGTAGATATTGTGTGTTGTATTGCACTGGGATTTTATGTTTGGATAGTAATGTTGGGACTTTAGTGGTGTGATAAGTTGTTTGTATTTGATGATTGATCGTTTACAGGTGTTTGCAGTGAGCTTGCTTTCGACATACTTTTCTTCGCGTGTTCGACACTGCATAGATAACTTGTCCCTTTATAGATTGGTGGATGTGTCGCAAAATGAGAAAAAATATTTTTGCGTATGTATGTATGAGAATAGATGATTGTGTTTGTTGGATTGCCTGAACGATGTGTATGAAGTTTGGTTGTTTGTGGAAATTTGTTGACCATGGGTGGTCATATGGACGTGTCCATAATCTAATACCCTCAGTAGACATTCTGCGGGATTCGCTGATGGACTAAATGAATAAGTTGACCGTTGAGTCGATAGACATTGTCATTCTCGACGGAGACGGTACACGATTATATTTGTATGACTGGAGGATGTTTCGTGTTGATGACGAGTTGTCAGTTGGAATTGAGGTTTCTTATATGTATATATGTATATATATATATATATATATATATATGTATGTTTATATATGCTTGATTATTTAGTTACTTTCTGACGGGGATTGAAGAGTTCTGAATGTGTGTGAATGTTTGCCGAGTGTAAGTAAGCACACTCCGGAAGTCGAGATAGTAATTTATCTTTGTCCAAACTGGGTAGTGCAACATCGAGTATTCCACTGTCACATCTATGTCGGTGGTGTCCATTGATTTGCAAATAAATTTGATGTATTGGTTTGTTGAATTTGTTGTGTTTAGTCTTATGAATATGGTGTTAAAATATTTGATGCTGTGCTTTGTGGAGCGTATATGGATGTGCCTGAGTGGTTTTGTGTAGTTGATTGTTTGGTATTGGTGAGCACACTCCGGAAGTGGAGATAGTAATTTATCTTTGTCCAAACTGGGTAGTGCAACATCGAGTATTCCACTGTCGCTTATCTGTTAGTGGTGTCCATTCATCGAATATCACAGTTGTTGTGTTTGTGTATGTTATGTTGAATTTTTGTGTAAAATGTGCAAGTAGTAATTGGAGTGAGGTTGCCTAATGTGGATGGTTTGTAGGGTGCGTGTGTGGGAGAGAGTGAGCGATGGTGGATGATGAAGATGGTATTTGTGTTTGATGTTGATTTGTTTGTACTGTGTATCACAGGAGTGTTAATCTTTCACAGATGTGTGGTGAGTGTTGTTTGTGGACAACGTGAATTGTAGTTGAGTGTTTTGTTTCGCTTAATAATAGTTGGGTTGAAGAAACAGTTTATTTTTCTGAGGTGGTGTGTCGCCGACGCCATAGG